TCTCTCTCTCTCTCTCTCTCTCTCTCTCTCTCTCCCCCCCTCTCTCTCTCTCTCTCTCCAGAATGAGAAGGGAGTGGTCCCCTTCTTCACTCAGTCCGACTGTACCATCACCTCTCAGATGGGGTCCAGGGCTTTTAAAATCCCCCCGTCCATCCATCAGCGGATCACCGCCACCTTCGATTCCCCCAACTCCAAAGGGAAGGACTGGCAGCTTTTGGCCCAGAAGCTTCACATAGACAGGTCTGAGTTATGAGCACATTTCATCCCCTCTCTTTAGCCTTTCTCTTCCTTTCAGGAACCATTTACATTCTGCTGAGTCGTCCCTGAATGAAGCACGTTTTGCTGTAAATATTAGAACAAAACTGCGGCACGCACGTCCTCTCATAAATTTAAACACTGTTCCTCATTCTGAACGCCACTTTCAATCTGGAAGTTAGGCAGCGTGTCGGCTCGTATCTTTCATCGCCGACCAGCCTTCAGTTACACTCCACACTCCTGATTTCATTATAGATCTAAAACACATGCACAGACAGAGGGAGAGGCAGAATCAGAGCGCTGGAAGTGGCCCAGCAGATGCTGCGTGCTGCAGAAATGTGAGGGAAGGTCTCTGACTGCTGACAGCCCAGCCCCTGGCTATAAAAACGTGTTTGTGTTAGCGCTTCTCATTAGCATCCATACTTGCAGCTAAACAGCGCGGAGCTCGTGCCAGCTTGGTGTTTGTGCAGGCGTGGGAGGATTTTAATTGTTTGGAGATGGGGGTGATCTGTGTTTGTGCTTCAGAGGAGAAGTCAATAATCGAGTGCTTCAAACGGTGACGACTCGGGGAGCCGCGCGGCCGGCTCCGAAGGAGAGCAACGCTTTGTTTCTGCTGCAGAAACTCAGGAGGAAAAAGTTAAATAAGAAACTGTGAGATAAAAGAGCGTCGATGTGAACACAAACACAGGCGACTGAGGGGGAAAAATAAGGACTTCTTCTTTTTATTATTATTATTATTAAAAAGAAACTTCTTCAGGCACGCCGAGAAGCATGTAGAAGAGTGACTCTACCTACTTAAGATGTAATTATTTCTGCGAGTGTGTGGGAGCATCATGAGGAGGCGTTTAAAGAGGAAAACTGTCACTGCAAGGAAATAGTGCCCTCTATTGGTTGTTGTAACAACTGCATAGATTAAATAAAATAAATAAAATATTTAAAGTTTGTTTGGAAACATAAAAAAAACGTTGGCATTTTTACATCACATAGTTTATATTAACAATAACAAATGTGAGCCATCACATCAAAATGAGGATTAAGTCAGATTTGGTCAAAATGACCTAATTACATTTTCAGATTCTTGGCTTTAAAAGCTACATTTTGATACCTGGATCATTCTGATATCATAATTAAATCCATATATATAGCGGGTAAAATAAGTATTGAACACTTCATTTTTCTCAGTAAATATA